TCTGAAGTGAACTGCAGGTCGTTAGAAAGTTTGATGACGTGTTCTGACAGTGCGCTGATTTTCATACCTTGGTGCTGAAGTTCGTATTTCATGCGATCCACATCACTTGATGTTTGTCGCATCTGGTCGCGATTGTCTTTGAACTTGCCGTCCACGTGGTTCAAATGGTTGGTTATCTTTTTCAGCTGCTTGCTGTTTGTTTTAAGTTTCTGTTCTAAAAGATCTAAGCGGTCAGCTGTGTCGTGCACTTGTGAGCCGGTCTGGGAGTGGCCGCTCTGGGAGTGGCTGCTCTGGGGGTGGCTACTCTGGGAGTGGCTACTCTGGGGGTGGCTACTCTGGGGGTGGCTACTCTGGGAGTGGCTACTCTGGAAGTAACTTCCGATGTTTTTGTGACTTAATTCATCGGATAATTTTTGTATCTCTTTCGAAATATCTCCAAAACCGGCTTCGAGTCTAAACAAGCTGTGGTAAATGTCGTTTATTTGTTTGTCTTTTTGCTGAAAATCTGTATGCAGTGAATCAGACACACGACCAAGATAATCGTCGATGTATCTTACTTGTTCGTAGGTCGGCCATATTTCTTCTGTATAAATGTCTTCAAGAAGGCTATAAAGTTCTCTGATATGTTCCTTTTGGTTTTTCGCTCTGCGGGCATGCTCGCGCAGCCGATGTGCCAGTTCTTCTACCTCAGACGATAGCTGGTGTGTCTTGCTGTCCTGTTCTGTCATTGCGTTCAAGAGGTCATCCATGTTCCTTGGTTCGAAGTGTGATATCGGATGTCGCTCGTCGTCCATGAAGTCGCCCATGCTGATCAGTGTCCCGGACATGGCCGACGTTTTTGATGGGGTAAATTGCTCAGCTTCTGCATTTTTGCAGTTCACAACCTTAAGACCAATAGCCAATAGAACTACATCGAATACCCGCACTAAGCACCGGTGCCGCATTTTATTAGCTTATATTTCGTGAAGGTAGTAGGGAAATATAGTGATTATCGAACACTCAAACTGTATTGATGGCTGACACTTTTGGCTTTTCACTGACTATATGCGATGAACTTGAAGCAGTTGGACTCGTAGTAATTTTACGTTTCTCTTAATCAATAATCACACAAAAGAAAACTAAAGAAAGGCCTGGAATTGGCATTTCGGTGGGCAAAAATTTTATGTTATTTGTTTTGCTTGGTAGTTTTCGTGCGTGCGTATTTCAGGCTTACTCACGTGCATCAGGTAAAATATCACCTTTCTGCCGAATATTGCAACACCTGTGTTCAACGGCACTTCGAGGCAAGATAACTACATAGAACAAGCTTCGAGGTGCCGATAAAAGCTTCATTTCACGGCACTGCTGATTGCTGAATCAGGTGTTCTCATTTTTTTTCGATGTTATCATCTATTTTGGTCAGCGGACGCATCTTGTATTTAGTTTCAGTACAGATTGGTTACATTTCTGTTGCACATTGTTGGTTTTGTGTATCCGGTTTTAGTATATTTTTATTTTCATGCATACTTGCATCATCGTTTATTTTGAATAATGCTCGTAGTCACACAGTTGCACGAATCACCTCTATGGCTCATTTGGATCGCACTGTGTTTGTCGGATTTTAGCATAATGTGTCTGTCAGACTGTCAATGTGTTCGTGGACCGCTCACCGCTCCGTGGACCGCCGGCCAGCTCTGGCCGTCTCCGGGGCCCTGTCCTGACAGTCCCGCCGGCCAGTTCTGACTGCGGGGCTCTATCCTGCCTGTCCCGGCCAGCTCTAACTGCGGCCGTCTCCGCCCGCAGGAGGTGCTGAACAAGGCCGGCGCCGTGCTGTGGCTGGACGCCAGCCGCCGGCTGGTGCCGCACAGCAGCGCGCGCCTGCTGAAAAAGGCGCGTCAGCTGGGCGTGCTGGCCTGGCGGCTGGACCTGCAGCTGGACGAGCAGCTGGCGGCCGTGCCCACCACCGCCTTCACACACTACAAAATGTTCGATTACTTCGACGCCAACATCGAGCACTTCTACTTCCACAAGATGGTCTCCGACGAGTGAGTAACCGGCTGGAAATATATTATTATTTCTTAGCTTCCTCGATGTTTGACATGTGTCACCGGCTCGCCGCTGGTTCGTATGCAGCTGACCTCTCATTCCAACCACCGGGTCTGACCACTTCGTTTGGCCAGCTCCATCTGACCACGGACTGCCCAAGTTATTAGACCGTTTGGTTTGACCTCTCCGTATGACTGCGACTCTATCCAGTGACCGCTTCCTATAACCGCCCCTCCTTCCGTCAGGGCGCTGCTGATTTACAACACGCCGGCGGTGCACCGGCAGCTGATGCTGCCCTGGCTCCGCTGCGCCCTGCTGCCCGAGTGTGTGGCGCCCACCGGCGCCCAGGCCGGCGGCTGCCGCTTCAACAAGAAGCCGCACTACAGATACTCGGGCTGCCACGGCTACGACACGAGCGCCCTGAACGTGGCGCTCGGCCTCATGTTCCGGCCCGACCGGACGCCCTACATCGAGACGGAGCGGCTGGAGCGTGCCGAGGAGCCCGACGGAGGGCTGGGCGGCGACAACAGCACGGCGGCCGCGCTCTGAGGGAGAGGGGGAGAGGGAGCGGCGGCGGGAGCTCCGTCTGTGACATCACTAGTCCGGGGAGAGGGGGGGGGTGAACAAAGGCTCACCGTGTGGCGCCCGTCTGAACGCTGTGCGGGGCTCAGATATGCATGCTGTATGTGTGTGTTCGTGAATGGAGCGTTAGGCGATCAGGGCGTGCGGCGGTCCTGCGCCCGCAGCTGTGGACGTTTGTCCGCAGATGGCAGCACGTTCGCGCTGCCAGGTGGCGGGCCGCGCCGGTGGCAGATCTGGGCCGGCCGCCCGCATCGGGCGGTCGTTGCTGCGTCGCCCGTTCGTGATGGCCCGGTTGTGATTTGATTTCGAGTCGTGCTTTGTACGTATGTGTCGCTGGTAGGGACTGAATCCACTGCTGGCCGCGGCGGCTGAGTGGTCCCGTTTCTTCTGATACTCGCAATGTCGCCCCTTTTCTCAACATGACGTCCGCGGCTGTAGGCATTGCTGTACGGACGTGTTTTCTCTGTGTGTAGTAATCGTGTGATTCCAGGCGTTCTGCTGTAGCCAAGACCGTCTCTGTGTATCCATACTGCCCGCCAATCGAATTTTATTGTACTCTGAGAGGTTTGAGACTCCGTTTTGGTGTGATGTGGCCGACAATAGGCCTCGGGTCGAGTCGGTTCACTGACAGGCGACCCTCGGCAGCGCTTTCTGTGCCGGATGTCTTGCCAAAGGCGTCCGGCCGCTGGTGCATCTCTGTGCTGTTGGTTCGATTCAGTTGTCTCAGGTCTGGCCGCAGTGTAGGCGCGCGCCTCCCGTGACGGGTGTGTCGGTCGATCCTCGTATACACGTGTGAATCAGACGTCCGTCCGTCTCTGCACATCTGTGGGCGGGCAGGAGGGGAGATATGACGGGCGGCGCGGCACGTGGTTTATGGCCGCCGGCAGTAATTGCCAAATATGGGAGGAGGGAAATGAGACGGCTTTATTGGGCGGTACTCCGGACTGAAGCCACTAATTGTGAGGACGGAACGACTCGCGATCAAAGTCACGGGGATTGGGTGCGTCCGAACCGGCCGTGCTCGGTTTGGTAGCGGAGGTTTCATCCGATACCCCGCGAGTAGGCGCGACAGAAATCCGATAACACCTCTCGCCCATGGCCGGACCATCACTCTCCCGTGCCCGCTCTGTACCACCAGTTGCCCACGCACCCTCCCTCCCCCTCCCCCTCCCTCTGTCGGCGTCTCGGGCCGGTGAGTTATGATCTGCTCCCGTCCGCTCGGACCGCCGCTCCGCCGCCTGGACGGCCTGGTTTATATCGGTGCCCCTCCCCTCCCCTGCGGCGGCCATTTTGTCCGCCTGCTGTGACCGGCGGCCGGTCGGGTCGGCCGGGGCGCCGGTCAGCCTGGGTCAGGTGCGGCCCGCCGCGGGCGTCTGCCCCGTCCACTGGCTTCAGGGCCGGCGCCGGACGCTGGATCGATGGCCGCCGCCCAGCCCGGCCGGTCGGTCCGACGGACCAGCACGGCGCGACGACAGGAATGCGGGCGCACCAGCGATAGCGACCGACGCACCTACCCAAACACCTGCCGCCGGACTGTGTTTGCAGGGGAGGTTTCCATGGGGAGAGCGGCATCTTCTGGGTATCGCTCGCGTCAAAGGTGGCTCATTGAATTTTTAATGACATTGGTTTGCCCACCACTCATCACTACACCTTCTTGTACTTACCACTGCATGCTATGTCAAAGCATGTCAGAGACGAACATAAGACTACGACACTGCGGAGTAAGGTCTGAACATTTATTTACTTTTTGCCAGTTTTGCTTGTCTGGGCAGTGACAAGGCCGTTGAGTGGTCTGACCCAAAGAATTATGTTCTAAATAGCCGGCTGGGCAGAAATGAAGGGTCGGACAGGCGTGCTCTCTGGCCGTCTCCATGCAGTCGGCCGAATGCAGGCCGGCGGCTGCAGCGGGCCGCCGCCTTACGAGCGAGCGGCACGGCGGCACGGCCGGCCGCAGGTCGATGGCGCCATGGTCAGACGGCGTCATCGCGACAGCGCCCGGCGGAGGCGACGGCTGACCCCTCGCCGACACCATGCGACCGAAAACGTACACAGCGTGGAAACGGGAGGAGCGTCCCTCCCCATCTATAGTCCTTCACACCATATACCATTCGGTTTTCATTGGTGGGTTTCAGGGATTGATGATTTGACCACGGACATGCCACATGAAAAGTCTGTTGAGTTATGAGCTACAGTAGCTTTTTATCCAAAGCAATATATCAAAATATTTATCAACTTCGTTTTCTCCTTGTCAGATTCAATGCCACAGTGCATTGAATCCTTGAATTGGTCATCCTTGCTGAAAGGGAAAGGAAGTTTTTTTTAGAATATGGTAGCACTGCAGGTAATTTGGTAGCGACGACAAACGCAACACGTTTTTGGCGCAAAACAATTTTGAGCATTCCACGGAGCATTCTGAACATTTGAATTGAAAATGTCTGTAAATATGGTCATGATTTGTCCGTTTTGTCAGATATTTACGGAATAAAAAGTGTTGGATATGTGTCAAGACTCTATACCAACATAAGAGCATACATTCATTGTACATGAGGAACTCTCAGTTTTTGTCTCAAATGACAATTGTTGCTCTTGTGACTCACCTGAAGCTTTCTGAGTTCTCTATATACCGTGCTGCCGGCTCTGGCTTTCCTGCGAAACTACACGGTAAATACGAGGCCTAAAATGGTTAAATATGTACGTTAATGAATTATCTATATTGCGAAGATAGTGATAGCAAAATGATTGGTGACGCCATGCACTCGTCGGTGTGCATTGTGATACAGGTAATCAGAAGGTGAAGTCGAGTTTAAACTTGGGCTCCCTAGGTATTCACCTCATCGTGAAGCTCATTACCATGAAGGTGTGTATGTGAAGTAATGCCCAAATTACACATGATCTCCGATCACAGATGAAGGTTTCCTTCTTTTCAGAAGTTTCATGTTCAACATAAATTGGTAGGCACACTCAAGCCGCATCCGCGTTTTTCTCCTGAACTGAAACAAGCCACGCCTTTAGATGCCTTTTCCTCTATCAGCGCCACGATTTTTATCCCACTGATGTCCCGTGTCCTGTCCTTTAGGGCGTCCCGTCAGCGATGGTGTTGGTGAAGCATCCAGTGTCCAGTTTCCGAGCGACCCAGCGCGGCTGCTGAGTGACACTGAACCGTACTGAACGACTCAGCCGACTCGTGACTGCGCGGCTGCCGCTGCTGGTCCGCCATTCCATGATCCTCCGAGATACCGGGAATCCGCCGATCGTCATCGGTGAGGTGAGTTAGTATGCATATATGATATGCGTGCCGTTCGTGTTGTGTGGTATAATCCATCTACAACTGTCCACGCAGAAACACTATGCTTTCAACAGCACTTCAAAAACAATTCATCATCGATGAAAGGTGGGTGGCTGATAGCACAACTCTTAGTTCCTCATTTGAACAAAAATGATTGAAACCTAGTTCAATGAACAAAGTTTGTAACGGTGACCGAAATGGGAGCGCTTTGTCAAAGTCCGAGGTTTTACGAAGTTGCCATTTGCTACCCATCTTTCAATGTTTATTCAATCAACTAAGAATTGTCTGGAAGCAATGCGCAGTTTGTAGCCGTATTGTGATTTTCCTTTGAAATCCGAGAAAAGTGGTGTCGCAACGTAACTGCGTCTGAAGAATGTCCCAACTCCCAACATAGGCTACTGCTCACTGCCATTGTAACGTGACAGCGCCTGAAGAATGTCCCAATATAGGCTGCTGGCTACTGCTCACAGCTATGGTGCTGTATATAAAAAAATACTGTGAAGCTGCGGTTTTATTGGTCTTCCATCACTTTGTTTGGAGTTTTCCCTGCAAAGTGTGAAGTGTGGGATTCTGTGTATTAATCCTTTTTTTGTGGGACCAGGAACCCAGTGCATGGCCTAAACCGCCGAACGAACAGGTCTGCAGACCGGTTATAGGTACCAGGGATTACGTTATACTTATTTCCCGGCAAAATAGCCGAACGTAACGAGAATCTGCTTCGTTGTACTAAAACACCCACGGCGCTCGACTCTTACCCGACCTGGGTTAGTTCATGACAACTTCTTTGAAAACAATTAACTTTTTAGAAACTTCTTTCATGCAGATTTCACTTGTTTAAGATGTGACCTGGGCCCAGTTCATATAAGAAAGGCCAGTCGGGCAAGTGTCACTTTTCCAAAGTACCACTTTTCAAAAGGACACTTTTGGTAACATTGGTGCCGGTGTGTAAGGGTGGCTATGCCTATATGAACCCGTCTGTCGGGTTCCTCTTTCCAATAAGTGTCCCTTAGCAGCAAAGGGGCTCTATATGAACTGAGCCCTGGCCTCAAATGGCCGTTCACAACAATCAGTCACTCCAGTGGCTGTCGTGCTGCCGGTCGCACAGGGGCTGCGTCCCAGTCCCGTTCAATACCCGCGGCGAGGGGTTCCACAACGGATGGGGGCCCGTCAGCAGGCCTTACCGGGCCGTCCTGTAGCCAGCTCAGCCCCAATCGCGCCATCATGCGGGCCCAAAAATGAGTCGGCCATAGTCGGACTGCAATGGAACGCCTCCGTTTCGTGAGGAAACTGGTTGCCGATACACAATCACGGGCTCAAGGACCGTCCGGGACGGCGCCGTGAAAGGCGTAGCATGACCGTCTATCCTGGTGACATGGGGCTTCGTGACAACCCTCGCGACGCTCGGGACTTTGCATGGATACAACCGCTATCCGCTACATCAAATGAGATGCCACTCGGGACGACTGGAGTCCAGTTTGGCGCATCATGTTTGCAGTTCGGGCTGCCTACCTTACCCTCTCGATCTGTGTGCTCTGTTCCGACTGAAGTTGTTGCTGACCGTCAGCTCTGGACGAGCGGTGCTGTTTGTCGGCGTGCTCGGATGACCGGTCGTTTACGAGGATCCCGCCACGTTGGGGTCCCTTTCCGCCGGGTCATGGGTCCATGTGTCAATCCTCATTTCTGAGGACCCCGGCCTACGCACGGACCCGAGAATGGGCGCCAATGAACGGCGATTGGAGCCATCAGAGGAGGCGAGGGAGAACGGCTGACGAGACCGGCTCACTTCCCCGAGCGAGGTCAGACGCGTCGCCGACCTTCCGGCAAATCTGGGCCGGCCTCGTCAGCTTTCAGCGAGCTAGATGTACTCGCAGGCAAAAACTTCAACGGGATATTGGCACATGTGTCTGAAGCTGTTTCCGTGCTTCTTTTGCGTATGCAACATCACTGCTTACATTTTGTTCAATTATTTAATGGGTCCCAGCTGACGTATGTCCTTTTTTAATGTCTGCTTTTACAGGTGCATGCGATTCGCACCCCATTATATTGCGGCATTTTAATCAACTACGTGACAGAATGCACTTTTTCCGGCGTGCTGTTTTCTTTTATTAGCCCCCAAGCGCCATGCCTGAAGCGACACAAAAACGACACCAAAAACAACATAAGAACGTAGCGTACCCCGGTATATAAACTTTTTACACCTGTTTCTCATTAGCCTCACGGCTGCGTCTGCTCCCATACCCAGCTGTGGCCGGCTCGCCGCCAGGGCCGGCGAGCGGACGGACGACGGTCGTGCCGATGTAGCGACAGCGCGTCCCCTCCCGGTCGGACGGCCCGGTCAGCGTCTGTCCACGTGTGCATTATGCAGTGACGCCCATCAGATGGGACCGTCATGAAAATGCGCCGCTGGTCCAGCCTTGAACCGCGCTGTGTCGCCGAGGCCGTGCCGAGGGGGCCGGCGGGTCGGCCTGTCACCAGGGCGGCCGGCGCGCCGCAGGAGGCCCCGCTGGACGGGGATGCGCCGTCCGATAGTGTTGGAAACCCGAGCCGGCCGCCTCTGCCGGCCCCCGGGAGCGGGCAGCGCCACCCGAGCCGGCGCGCTCCGCCCGGCGCCCTGTGTGTCCCACCCCACTGTCCTGCGGCAGCTCCGGAACTGTGTATACAGCGGGGAGACGAGGTGACCCGCGCTGCTCCCGCTCGGCCGGAGGACACGCGCACTGGGCGGCCACCCCAGGCCACGGCGGTGTCGACATCGAGTCGGACACCGGCCGTTTGTCAGAGCGACTCTCGGTCTGGGTAGTTTCCATTTGTGGCCGGCCACGAGACGACTCTGCTCGGACAGCGGAGCGGACCGGCGCGGAGCGGCGACACTCCCCTGACAGGGGCCAGGAGCCGCTCTAATGCCGCGAGGCTCCACGACCGCTCCGCTCCAAATGATTTCGTTTCAATTAATTATGTTCCGTTCATTCGTTCGCTCGTGTCAATCAGTCTGCGCCCCCCTGTGGCCGGGGTGTGTCCGAGTCCGGTCGCGCTGCACGCCGCGGTGCCAGTGACACCCCCGGGCGCTAATCGTCCCCCTGCGCCGGTCGATTGGCGCTGCTGGACTTTTCCATTCGATCGGCCGCGTCCCCGGGCGGGCCGACCACTCCCCGTCTGGACAAACGGTAACCAAACACATTGCACGGAAGCGTAGCGGCGAACGGCCTGCAAACGTCAGAGGGTGGTCCAGTTACGGCCCCGTGTGGCGCGGGCAGGGGCGTGGAGCTGCGCCCCTTCCAGTGAACGGCCGCGGAGGCTCAGAGCGGCCTCCAAGATAGCCGATGCAAGAAGGTTGGCGGCACTGTCGTGCTATCTCGACTAACGGAGAGTTTGATAAACCCCGCCATGTTTCGCTGCGCTCGGAATCGAGACGAGGGCGCCGGTTGTATAATTGTGCACGGTACTGTGAAGGGGCGAGCGGCGGCCGCGGTGACCGGTCTAACCATAACTTCCTGGTGTCCGGGGTCCTGTTAGGCACTCGGACCGGGAGTGAGACGGCCTCAGGAGGGACGCGGCGCCTGTCAGTGGCAGCGCGTCTGACCCAGATGCTCGCCACAGTGACACCGAACATGGTGTCTTCTGTCCGCTGTCTGCTCTCCATCACCGCTTTACAATATCCATTGGACGCAATGGCAATGATATGGATGTTGAGACAGCCCCTAGGGTGGACGATGGACATGGGTCGTTTCGGCCACGACCGCTGCTGGTATGGTGTGAAATAATGACCAAGCCCGCCGCTCCGTAGATTTTACATAAATTGAATAATTTTTGTTATCCTTCTGAGTTCTGAGAGAGCTGAGATTCTTCTGAGAGAACTGGGAGCACAATGCGATTCTCCCAGCCGATGTTGAATTGTTTTTGAGACATCGACAGCACCCGATCGTCTCACTAATGAGGGACACATCCGGCTAATTAGGACGGCCTCGATGGCTGGACCTGAAACCCGAAACCTGCACCGCGTCTGTCTGCCGGCATAAATAAAAGCTGACATTGCAAAAATTCCTAGCGTGATGGTAAAGAAGAGCCGTGAATGCTACGGCCTTCCTTTTTGATACGGTACGCTGTCATTTCGGACCTCCCTACCAATTTAGCTAATGGCACTAGGCTTTCCAGGGCCACTGTTTCCCTGGTCCCAGCCAGCATCGTGTTTACATAATTGGAAAGGTGCTTTGCCAAGCTCGTAATGTACAGGGTGTTTCACTAAAAGTGTCAAAAAGTAAATGCCTATTAAAGATATATAGAATATGCAAATCACGTGTCCGCGTACGTGGCTTTGTTGCAAATTTTTGGACATTTATTATTTATCCATTTAAGATATATTTTACACTCATACGGAGCGAGGGCAGGAGGCCAAAGTTACTAGTCATTTTTTCCTTATGCAGAACAAGAACAGGTCATTTACACCGCAACAGGAGGGATGAATTACACTTATGTACATTTGGTGCCATCAGAAACATTGAAACCGTATGCCGACTTTTCAGGAAACTTTTTACTCTCTCACCTCGCTACGTTCCAGATTATAAAAGTTTCAAAGGGCTTGTTGAGAGGTTTAAAAGGGTTCCTTCGATGCCGGTTCCAGTCCAAAAAAGGCGGGGTTGCCCCCACCTCTCGGCGGAAACCGTTGAGAAGGTCAGGGTCTTTTTGAGGGCCTTTGAAGATAACAAGAAGCTAATTCCAACATCAGAAATAGCCAGGGCCTTACAAGCTATTAGAATCAACCACTGTAACGGCTGTAGCCACCAGGAACTGACTGGACCAGAAGCTCCTGGGCCGAATAATCAGCTGCCTCGCCGCCCGCCCCTGGCCAGCGCGAAGCCCCGATCTGTCACCGCTAAGCCTCTGGTTTGGTCAGTGACAGTAGCTCTCGCAGAGCTGAGGAAGACTCAAGTCGCATCACTTCGGGAGCTGAAGAGCACAATTCAAGGCTTTGCCGACAGTCTGGA